ACACAGAGTTGTCACCCCGCTTGGCTCAAGCATGCAAGCTAAGTTCGCCCGTGCGCCACAGTCCGTTGCGGCCCCACACGTCAACCCCATATACCTGACACCAGCTCGTCGGATCGCCCAACTCTCGCACTCACTTACCTTCCAAACTTGCTCGTCAGTCGACCCTCATTGATCGCGCTAACCTCGAAATGTCTTAGAGAGCAAACTAATCGCGCTTGTCAAATTTATAGCGTGCACACTTGCGCGATGGATACAGGATTAGACCCAAGTGGTGAGAAGGAGAAGAGAGAAAGTGCCTACGTCTGCATGGCCAAGCCCCGGCATGGGGGTCGTAGCCACACTCCACACATCGATCCGGGTACGCAGGCATAGGAACCAATCAGGTCGGGGAAGAACTTCGAAGAAGGTGTGCATGCGCGGGCAAGCACAAGGCAGAAAGAGGGAAGAACACGAAGGACATCAAGAATAAGAAGATTACAGTTGCAACCACGCCCGCCAAAACTTTTACAGTTATGTGCAAGATTAAGGCACAAAAAGAAGTCAGAACCCGGATCTTGTCGCGGCAAGGCGTGCGTAAGCAGGAAGCGCCGCACAACAAAATTCAGAAGGTGCTTAAATTCCTAGCTTAAGTCCTAATTGCAAAGGAAAATTCCGAATAGAAAAACAATTTCGAGAGCCCGTGGGGGCTCAACATCAGTTGAAAATTCAAAAACAATATTCCCGCACGATGATCGCACCAAAATTCCCAGTGCTCACAGTAGAATAAGAAAAAAACTATGGTACAGTTATTTCTCACACTCGCTAAGGCGCGACTACCCAACCGTTGGCATGGGACCTTTCCGACACCGATCCGACATTCCCAATAGAAAACGAAAAAGAAACGAGGACATCCATGCAATTTGCTCGCCCGACCCATCTTCCCACAACTCACCCATTCAACCCGTCATATTTCCTCAAGCAGCTCCGCGCAGAAAGTTGCGAGATTACATAAAATAGTGCGTCACATATGTGACGCCCAGGGGGTTTCAATCTTGTGCAAGGAGCTTGCACCCATATCTCTCCAAGTTGCACGTGTCATTACCGTAGGATAAGAGTGTGGAAGTCATCCTGCTGACATGTCCTGATCCTTGCACCCATCTTTAGTGTCCCGAGGGAAGGGGGTAAGGAAGTCGCAATACGGAGGTGGGGGATGGGGGATGCTCTCTTGGGAGTGGGGGCAAGGAGCTCGCCATCCCTTCCACTGTCCCGAGAAGTTCCAGGTACTTGACGGTGCGGTGTATGCGCCGGAAACGACGACTGCCATAGGGAAGAGAAGCAAGATAGTCGGGATAGAGAGTGGAAAAGGTGCGAAGTACGGCCGCGCAAAATTGCTCGAGATCAACGCACACAGGAATAGTTCTTGTGATAGTGCAGTAGACTTCGATCACATTGTGATCCGGCCAAGCAGCGCTGAAAAGAAGGATGTGAAGGCAAAAGGAGGGAAAAACGTACTGAGTGGTGGGATGCGGGTAGTAGGGTACACTGTGGCGGCGAGGCGGGTGTCGAACTGGTAGAAGAGGGAGGAGGGGAAGGGATTTTGAGGAAATACGAGCGGGGTATCGATTTGGCAGAGTGCAGGGTAATCAAGGGGACGACGGGATAATGACCGGGGACGTTGCCCGATGCCCTGCATCGGCACGTGCTCGAACTGAGGGACGGGGGGGAGGGGAGGGGGAGTGGCTTCGTTGCCTCCGTGTCAGCGCGTTCGAAGTCTTTGTGGCGCATCATCTTCCTTTGTCGGCGGCTCTGGATCTCTGGTCGGATCGTCTGGAATCGGCAAGTCAGTCCCCGCCGATTGCTCCATCGTCCGCTTTCCTTCCGCTATTTCT